GTTAATGGAAGTTTGGACTCCACTACAAAAGAGGAATGAACATGTCTTCATATGTTAAAGTCAAGCCAAAACTGAATAGTACAGATGCGTAGTATTGGCAGATTTCTTCCTCGATTAACATACTGGCCACATATAAGGCATCATTTGACATGTCACTTGTACCAAGATTTATGAAAAAACAATGTCTGACCTCACCGCACCTGTGGTCAATAGACAATCCCTGTAACTGTGTCTGACCTCACTGCACCTGTGGTCAATAGACAATCTCTGTAACTGTCTGAACTCACCGCACCTGTGGTCAATAGACAATCTCTGTAACTGTCTGACCTCACCAAACATGTAGTTATTAGACAATCACTGTAACTGTCTGACCTCACCAAACATGTAGTTATTAGACAATCACTGTAACTGTCTGACCTCACCAAACATGTGGTTATTAGACAATCACTGTAACTGTCTGACCTCACCAAACATGTAGTTATTAGACAATCCCTGTAACTGTGTCTGACCTCACCGCACCTGCGGTCAATAGACAATCTCTGAAACTGTCTGACCTCACCGCAACTGTGGCTAATAGACTATCTCTGTAACAGTCTGACCTCACCGCACCTGTGGTTAATAGACAATCTCTGTAACTGTCTGACCTCACCGCACCTGTGGTCAATAGACAATCTCTGTAACTGTGTCTGACCTCACCGCACCTGTGGTCAATAGACAATCTCTGTAACTGTCTGACCTCACCGCACCTGTGGTCAATAGACAATCTCTGTAACTGTCTGACCTCACCAAACATGTAGTTATTAGACAATCACTGTAACTGTCTGACCTCACCAAACATGTAGTTATTAGACAATCTCTGTAACTGTGTCTGACCTCACCGCAACTGTGGTCAATAGACAATCTCTGTAACTGTGTCTGACCTCACCAAACATGTAGTTATTAGACAATCCCTGTAACTGTGTCTGACCTCACCGCACCTGTGGTTAAAAGACAATCTCTGTAACAGTCTGACCTCACCAAACATGTAGTTATTAGACAATCTCTGTAACTGTCTGACCTCACCAAACATGTAGTTATTAGACAATCACTGTAACTGTCTGACCTCACCAAACATGTAGTTATTAGACAATCACTGTAACTGTGTCTGACCTCACTGCACCTGTGGTCAATAGACAATCTCTGTAACAGTCTGACCTCACCGCACCTGTGGTCAATAGACAATCTCTGTAACTGTGTCTGACCTCACCGCACCTGTGGTCAATAGACAATCTCTGTAACTGTCTGACCTCACCAAACATGTAGTTATTAGACAATCACTGTAACTGTCTGACCTCACCAAACATGTAGTTATTAGACAATCACTGTAACTGCGTCTGACCTCACCGCACCTGTGGTTAAAAGACAATCTCTGTAACAGTCTGACCTCACCAAACATGTAGTTATTAGACAATCCCTGTAACTGTGTCTGACCTCACCGCACCTGTGGTTAAAAGACAATCTCTGTAACAGTCTGACCTCACCAAACATGTAGTTATTAGACAATCTCTGTAACTGTCTTACCTCACCAAACATGTAGTTATTAGACAATCACTGTAACTGTCTGACCTCACCAAACATGTAGCTATTAGACAATCACTGTAACTGTGTCTGACCTCACTGCACCTGTGGTCAATAGACTATCTCTGTAACTGTCTGACCTCACCGCACCTGTGGTCAATAGACAATCTCTGTAACAGTCTGACCTCACCAAACATGTAGTTATTAGACAATCTCTGTAACTGTCTGACCTCACCAAACATGTAGTTATTAGACAATCACTGTAACTGTGTCTGACCTCACCGCACCTGTGGTCAATAGACAATCTCTGTAACTGTGTCTGACCTCACCGCACCTGTGGTCAATAGACAATCTCTGTAACTGTGTCTGACCTCACCGCACCTGTGGTCAATAGACAATCTCTTTAACTGTGTCTGACCTCACCGCAACTGTGGTTAAAAGACAAAAACTGTAGCTGTGTCTGACCTCACCGCACCTGTGGTCAATAGACAATCTCTGTTACTGTCTGGCCTCACCACACCTGTGGTCAATAGACAATCTCTGTAACTGTCTGACCTCACCAAACATGTAGTTATTAGACAATCTCTGTAACTGTCTGACCTCACCAAACATGTAGTTATTAGACAACCCCTGTAACTGTGTCTGACCTCACCGCAACTGTGGTCAATATACAATCTCTGTCACTGTCTGACCTCACCGAACATGTAGTTATTAGACAATCCCTGTAACTATCTGACCTCAACGCACCTGTGGATAATAGACACTCTCTGTAACTGTCTGACCTCACCGCACCGGTGGTTAAAAGACACTCTCTGTAACTGTGTCTGACCTCACCGCACCTGTGGTCAATAGACTATCTCTGTAACTGTGTCTGACCTAAGCGCACCGGTGCTTAAAACACACTCTCTGTAACTGTCTGACCTCACTGCAACTGTGGTTATTAGACAATCCCTGTAACTGTGTCTGACCTCACCGCAACTGTGGTCAATAGACAATCCCTATAACTGTGTCTGACCTCACCGCAACTGTGGTCAATAGACACTCTCTGTAACCGTCTGACCTCACCGCAACTGCGGTTAATAGAAAATCTCTGTAACTGTCTGACCTCACCGCACCTGTGGTTAATAGACAATCTCTGTAACTGTCTGACCTTACCAAACATGTAGTTATTAGACAATCCATGTAACTGTGCCTGACCTCACCGCAGCTGTGGTCAATAGACAATGTCTGCTACTGTCTGGCCTCACCACACCTGTGGTCAATATACAATCTCTGTTACTGTCTGACATCAGCGTACCTGTGGTTAATATACAATCTCTGTAACTGTCTGACCTCACCGAACATGTAGTTATTAGATAATCCCTGTAACTGTGTCTGACATCACCGCACCTGTGGTTAATAGACAATCTCTGTTACTGTCTGGCCTCACCACACCTGTGGTCAATATACAATCTCTGTAACTGTCTGACCTCAGCGCAACTGTGGTTAATAGAAAATCTCTTTAACTGTCTGACCTCACCGAACATGTAGTTATTAGACAATCCCTGTAACTGTGTCTGACATCACCGCACCTGTGGTTAATGGCACAATACCTGTAACTGTCTGACCTCACCGCACCTGTGGTTAATAGACAATCCCTATAAGTATCTGACCTCAACGCACCTGTGGTTAATAGAGAATCCCTGTAACTGTGTCTAACCTCATCGCACCTGTGGTTAACAGACATTCTCTGTAACTGTCTTACCTCACCGTACCTGTGGTTAATAGACAATCTCTGTAAATGTCTGACCTCAGCGCACCTGTAGTCAATAGACAATCTCTGTAACTGTCTGACCTCACCGCACCTGTGGTTAATAGACAATCTCTGTAACTGTCTGACCTCACCGCACCTGTGGTCAATAGACAATATATGTAACTGTCTGACTTTACCGCAACTGTGGTTAATAAATAATCCCTGTAACTGTGTCTTACCTCAGCGCACCTGTGCTTAATAGAAAATACCTGTAACTGTGTCTGACTTCACCGCAACTGTGGCTAATAGACAATCCCTGTAAAGTTGTCTTAACTCACCGCACCTGTGGTCAATAGACAATCTCTGTTACTGTCTGGCCTCAACGCACCTGTGGTCAATAGACAATCTCTGAAACTGTCTGACCTCACCGCACCTGTTGCTAATAGACAATCCCTGTAACTCTGTCTGACCTCAGCGCAACTGTGGTTAAAATACAATCTCTGTAACTGTCTGACCTCACCGCAACTGTGGTTAATAGACAATCCCTGTAACTGTGTCTGACCTCCGCGCACCTGTTGTTAATAGACAATCCCTGTAACTGTGTCTGACATCAGCGAACCCGTGGTTAATAGACAATCTCTGTAGCTGTGTCTGACTTCACCGCAACTGTGGTTAATAGACAATCCCTGTAACTGTGTCTGCCTAACCGCACCTGTGGTCATCAGACAATCTCTGTAACTGTCTGACCTCACTGCAACTGTGGTTAATAGACAATCTCTGAAACTGTCTGACCTCAACGGACCTGTTGTCAATAGACAATCTCTGTAACTGTCTGACCTCACCGCACCTGTGGTCAATAGACAATCTCTGTAACTGTCTGACCTCACCGCAACTGTGTTTAATAGACAATCCCTGTAACTGTGTCTGACCTCAGCGCATCGGTGGTTAAAATACACTCTCTGTAACTGTCTGACCTCCCCGCACCTGTTGTCAATAGACAATCTATGTAAGTGTCTGACCTCAGCGCATCGCTGGTTAAAAGACACTCTCTGTAACTGTGTCTGACCTCACCGCACCTGTTGTTAATAGACAATCTCTGTAACTGTCTGACCTCACCGGAACTGTGGTTAATAGACAATCCCTGTAACTGTGTCTGACCTCAGCGCACCGGTAGTTAATAGACAATCTCCGAAACTGTCTGACCTCACCGCACCTGTGGTTAAAAGACAATCCATGTAATTGTGTCTGACCTCACCGCACCGGTGGTCAGAAGCCAATCTCTGTAACTGTCTGACCTCACCCCAACTGTGATCAGAAGCCAATATCTGTAACTATCTGACCTAACTGCAACTGTGGTTAATAGACAATCTCTGTAAGTGTCTGACCTCACTGCACCTGTGGTTAATAGACAATCCATGTAACTGTATCTGACCTCACCGCACCTGTGGTCAATAGACAATCTCTGTAACTGTCTTTGTCTGGTCAGGTACATCAGTGTGTTATAGACAATCTCCGGAATTGTGTGGTTGACCTCCGTCAATCAAACTGCTGACAAAGCGTTCAACCAGCCATGCCCCCCTCAATGTCTTGTATTTCGTCATCCCAGGATGGGCGTGATGGTAGTTACGGGGAAACAGAACAGTCGCGATGACATGGCGTCCCATGGACATGACTGGCGCTATGACATAGACTTTGCCACGTCTGTCACACGACACTTACTTCGAAAGGGAGGTAACTGCAGTTGAGAGAGAACAACGGTGAGATCGGCCGTGCGGATGTCCGGATCGTCCAGTTGAGGAGTTGGTCGCTCTCTGAGAGGATATAAACTCACAGTGTATGATTTGATTCACAGACATTCACGAAACGTAAGTATCATTTAAGTTATAATGTTTCGAATAATTATAAAGTATTTTTTTTAATCAGGCAAATATGACATCAATGTTTTTGTTCACAGATCAACCTAGTTATCTGATGCCAGAGAACTTCGCGTTATTTGATTCTTGTAAGAATGTTGTTTGTTAAGTCACACATTTCATAGCGACTGTGTAATCAGGCTCGAAATCTCATCTGTCCATCGTGAGTTTACATTTTTTTCATTGATGTTTCGATTGACACAATAAAGAATGTGAAGCGTGCCCACTGCAGGCATCCAGTAGGGTGATATACGATGTACAACTCCATCACCACGACCAGCCACTTGCAAATGACACGAGGGTCCCACAAGTTTTCTAAATTCCTGGATCCACGTTGCCATCAATCATGTATAGGGGCAGGTGTCAGCCCTGTCGCGGCCTGGGTTGATGTAGTTCACAGGTCGCCCAGGGCAACGTGACTGACAGATGGCCTGACCCTCGTCTCGGTAGGGGAGCGATCTCCGAAGTATTCGCAAATACATGTCGAACTCCCCAGACCGTTTATGACTGTCTCGACAGATCACTATTGCGGATCATCTAGATTATTCACAACAACATCCTTTAGTTATCAGTATGCGGCAAATGTTTCTATTCCTGTCACCGTAGTCATATTTCTAGTTTGCAAAGAATAGCGCGTTCGTCAATACTCCACTGACAATATTTGACAGCTGTTCCTCAGCTGACAATGGTTGACAACATCCTTAGTCTCCTACCTCACCTGACAATGTTTGACATCGTCTTCTATCTCCTACCTCACCTGACAATGTTTGACATCGTCTTCTATCTCCTACCTTACCTTACCTGACAATGTTTGACAGTGTCTTGTGTCTCCTACCTCGCCTGACAATGTTCCACAACATCCTTAGTTTCCTACCTTACCTGACAATGTTTGACATCGTCTTCTATCTCCTACCTCACCTGGCAAGGTTTGACATCGTCTTGTGTCTCCTACCTCGCCTGGCAATGTTTGACATCGTCTTGTGTCTCCTACCTCACCTGATAATGTTTGACAGCGTCTTGTGTCTCCTAACTCACCTGGCAAGGTTTGACATCGTCTTGTGTCTCCTACCTCACCTGACAATGTTTGACAGCGTCTTGTGTTTCCTGCCTCACCGGAAAATGTTCCAAAACATCCTTAGTTTCCTACCTCACCTGCCAATGTTTGACATCGTCTTCTATCTCCTACCTCGCCTGGCAATGTTTGACATCGTCTTCTATCTCATACAGCACCTGGCAAGGTTTGACAGCGTCTTGTGTCTCCTACCTCACCTGACAATGTTTGACATCGTCTTCTATCTCCTACCTCACCTGGCAAGGTTTGACAACATCTTGTGTCTCCTGCCTCACCGGACAATGTTCCACAACATCCTTAGTCTCCTACCTCACCTGACAATGTTTGACATCGTCTTCTATCTCCTACCTCACCTGGCAATGTTTGACATCGTCTTCTATCTCCTACCTCACCTGACAATGTTTGACAACATCCTTAGTCTCCTACCTCACCTGACAATGTTCCACAACATCTCGTGTCTCCTGCCTCACCGGACAATGTTTGACATCGTCTTCTATCTCCTACCTCACCTGACAATGTTTGACAGCGTCTTGTGTCTCCTGCCTCACCGGACAATGTTCCACAACATCCTTAGTCTCCTACCTCACCGGACAATGTTTGACATCGTCTTGTATCTCCTACCTTACCTGGCAATGTTCCACAACATCCTTAGTCTCCTACCTCACCTGACAATGTTTGATATCGTCTTGTATCTCCTAACTCACCTGACAATGTTTGACAGCGTCTTGTGTCTCCTGCCTCACCTGACAATGTTTGACAACATCCTTAGTCTCCTACCTCACCTGACAATGTTTGGCAGCGTCTTGTGTCTCCTGCCTCACCTGACAACGTTTGACAACGTCTTGTGTCTCCTACCTCACCTGACAATGTTTGACAACGTCTTGTGTCTCCTACCTCTCCTGGCAATGTTCAACACCATGCTGTGCCCCCAGTCTTCGCCGCTAACCTGCACCTCAAACAGCGTACATTCAGAACAAATCCTGTGTTTTCTTCACGTTGTCAAACCTTTACACTTTACAAACAACCTACAATTTACACACGGCTTTGCACACAGCCCTACACTTTACACACAACTCTACATTTTACACACAACCCTTCACTTTACACACGGCTTTACACACAACTCTCCACTTTACACACAACCTACACTTTACACACAACCTACACTTCACACACAGACTACACTTTACACACGGCGTTTCGCCACTTTACACACAGCCTACTGTTTACACACTGCTTTACGCAGAACCCTACACTTTACACAACCCAACCCTACAATCTACACACAACCCTACACTTAACACACAACCCTACAATTCACACAGCCCTACACTTTACACACAACCGTACACTTCACACAACCCTACACTTCACACAACCCTTCACTTCACACAACCCTACAGTTCACACAACACTACACTTCACACAACCCTACACTAAACACACGGCTTTACATACAACCCTACACTTCACACAACCCTACACTTCACACAACCCTACACTAAACACACGGCTTTACAAACAACCCTACACTTCACACAACCCTACACCACACAACCCTACACTTTACACACGGTTTTAAGCACTACCCTACACTTTGCACACGGCTTTTTACATAACCCCACGCTTACACAACCTTACACTTTACACACAACCCTACTCTTTACACACGGCTTAACACACAACCTATAGTTTACACACGGCTTTACACACAATCCTACACCCTACACTCTACACACAACCCTACACTTAACACACGGCTTTACATACAACACTACACTTCATACAACCCTTCACTTTACACGCAATTTAACACACAGCCTATAGTTTACACACGGCTTTACACACAATCCTGCACCCTACACTCTACACACAACCCTACACTTAACACACGGCTTTACAAACAACCCTACACTTCACACAACCCTACACCACACAACCCTACACTTTACACACGGTTTTAAGCACTACCCTACACTTTGCACACGGCTTTTTACATAACCCCAAGCTTACACAACCTTACACTTTACACACAACCCTACTCTTTACACACGGCTTAACACACAACCTATAGTTTACACACGGCTTTACACACAATCCTACACCCTACACTCTACACACAACCCTACACTTAACACACGGTACGGCTTTACAAACAACACTACACTTCATACAACCCTTCACTTTACACACAGTTTAACACACAACCTATAGTTTACACACGGCTTTACACACAATCCTACACCCTACACTCTACACACAACCCTACACTTTACACACAGTTTAACACACAACCTATAGTTTACACACGGCTTTACACACAATCCTACACCCTACACTCTACACACAACCCTACTCTTTACACACGGCTTAACACACAACCTATAGTTTACACACGGCTTTACACACAATCCTACACCCTACACTCTACACACAACCCTACTCTTTACACACGGCTTTACACAAAAACTTACACTTTACACACAAACTTAAACTTAACCCACAACCCTACATTTTGCACACAACCCTACACTTTACACACAACCCTACACTTCACACGCGGTTTTACACACAACCCTACACTTCACACGCGGTTTTACACACAACCCTACACTTTACACAGGGCTTTACACACAATTCTACACTTTACACATGACTTTACACCACTTTACACACACCACTACTCCACAGAGTCAGGAATTCTACCCCAGGTAACGGTGCAAAAGGCCGCGTACAATTTGTATTTTGTTTATTTGTCTTGTATATTTCTGTTGTTTGTATTTGCAGGGAGGTCATGTTCCAGTGCCACGACGACCTTTTTCACAATGACACCAACTACACGCATGATGACGTCAGAACAGCTCTCGTGCATCTCGAGCAGGAAGAACTCCTCTACAAAGTTCCAACCTTCATTTATCTGTCATTTCTGCTTCTCATCGGCATCCCTGGCAACTGCATCGTGTGCGTGGTCTACCACCTCAAGTTGCCCCGGAGTACCCCAAGACGATTCATTGTAGCCCTGGCGCTGTTTGATCTACTCAACTGTCTCGTAGGAATCCCTTTCGAAGTAGCTGATCTCATCACGGACTACTTTTTGAATATCCCTACGCTCTGCAGATTAGTACGGATGAGTAACACGTTCAGCTCTAGTGGGTCTATATTGATTCTGCTGATAATCAGCGTTGATCGTTACAGAAAGATATGTAGACCTTTTCGTAAGCAGATATTGGTAAGTGATTCCAAAAGGTGGGTCTACGTGATCACTGGACTGGCTGGCCTTATATCGATACCGGCTGTGGTATTCTACGGCCACCACAGCCTTGACATCCGTGGCCTTAAGACTTTCGACTGTTCGTTTGATGATTCCTTCAGTGACTACATGTTTCCAAAGCTCTACCAAATAGGTCTGGCACTCTTTTGTGTGATGACAATCATCGTTCTCATTGTGTTATACACATTCATTGTGCTGAAGATTGTCAAACAGAAAAAACGTCGAGCGACGTTGACGTCAGGGGCTCGACAAGCAGCAGCAGCACGTGCAGTGAACGCTTCAAACCGCGGGACAGACACCCCTAACAGCGACACTCTCCCATCTCACACAGACTCACTGCCAGAGATGTCGGACGCTGATAAATCCTCCTCCATAAAAGACACGAAAAAGAAAAGCAACAAGTTCATCCGGAGTTCCAGGATGACGCTAATGATGCTGGCTGTTACCGTCGTCTTCATCATCGGTTACATGCCCCACTTCGGGCTCCAGATCACGCGCCAGATCCTGCCCGACTTCACGGACGCGCTCCACTGTAACCACGTGGGACTTGTATTTTATGCCTTCTTTCTGAGGTCCTATTTTCTCAACAGTGCTGTTAACCCAATAATCTATAGCTTCTACAACAAGCGCTTCCGACAGGAGTGTGTGACACTGCTGAGGAGACTGGTGTGTGTAAAGAGCGAAACAGAGACCATCAATACAGTGACAGACAGCGACAGCTAGTTCCCTAACGCGCTGACACACATACACTGGGAGCACGGGGAACATGGAGACACACGCACACGCACGCACGCACGCACGCACGCACGCACGCACGCACGCACGAACGCACGCACGCACGCACGCACGCACGCACGCACGCACACACACACACACACACACACACACACACACACACCTGTTGGATACTCTATGAAATGGATAAGACAGACTGTGTTTCGAGAATGATAAATTGGAGCAAATGAGGGTACCCGCCAATGATGTTTTAAAGCAATATTTGGGGGAAAATCTTGGTAACTTTGAAATACAAGTACTTTTTCCGGTGACAGCGGCCTTTCACGAGCACATGACTAACGGCGTGATGAGCTCGATACTGCAGGATGTGACTGGACAGTGACGAATTACCAAGTAAGACAATCCAGCGTAGGCATGTGTTTCAACACAACATAATGTGTAGTCATTGTGATTGATGGACAATCTCACCACCTCGATTCCTGATACATTCTGCCTACCCCGAGATGTTCGTCCAGTGCGTTTGTTAATATTATGTTTGGTTTGTCACATAAAGAGCGATGAAAATGTCATGTAGTTTGGTTTTAAATCATGTATTTTTGGTTTTTATAAATCCAAAGACATCATATATATCATTGAATTATCTGTCCCTTTTGACACTGATGTGATTGACAAGGTTCAGGAGAAATACGGCAAATATGTGAACCTCTCTTTCGAAAGTGTCCCAAGTACCATGCTTTCCGACTACCATTTGTTCCCGGTGCCTAAGGTTTATTACCTCTCGATCAGATGTAAGCTTTGTCACTGTCTCTCTATTTTTCTCTGTGTCTCTCCCCTCTCCGTGTGTCTCTGTCTCTCTCTCCGTCTCTGTCTCTCTGTGTTTCTCTTTTTGTCTCTCCTCTATGTCTCTCTGTCTCCCTCTCTGTCTCTCATCTCCCTCTCTGTCCCTCTCTCCACTCTCTGTCTCTCTGTCTACATAGCTGTCTCCCCTCTCTCTGTTTCTCTGTGTCTGTCTCTCTGTCTCCCCCTGTCCCTCTCTCCACTCTCTGTCTCTCTCTATCTACATAGCTGTCTCCCCTCTCTCTGTTTCTCTGTGTCTGTCTCTCTGTCTCCCTCTCTGTCCCTCTCTCCACTCTCTGTCTCTCTGTGTCTACATAGCTGTCTCCCCTCTCTCTGTTTCTCTGTGTCTGTCTCTCTGTCTCCCCCTGTCCCTCTCTCCACTCTCTGTCTCTCTCTGTCTACATAGCTGTCTCCCCTCTCTCTGTTTCTCTCTGTCTGTCTCTCTGTCTCCCCCTGTCCCTCTCTCAACTCTCTGTCTCTCTCTGTCTACATAGCTGTCTCCCCTCTCTCTGTTTCTCTGTGTCTGTCTCTCTGTCTCCCCCTGTCCCTCTCTCCACTCTCTGTCTCTCTCTATCTACATAGCTGTCTCCCCTCTCTCTGTTTCTCTGTGTCTGTCTCTCTGTCTCCCTCTCTGTCCCTCTCTCCACTCTCTGTCTCTCTGTGTCTACATAGCTGTCTCCCCTCTCTCTGTTTCTCTCTGTCTGTCTCTCTGTCTCCCCCTGTCCCTCTCTCCACTCTCTGTCTCTCTCTATCTACATAGCTGTCTCCCCTCTCTCTGTTTCTCTGTGTCTGTCTCTCTGTCTCCCTCTCTGTCCCTCTCTCCACTCTCTGTCTCTCTGTGTCTACATAGCTGTCTCCCCTCTCTCTGTTTCTCTGTGTCTGTCTCTCTGTCTCCCCCTGTCCCTCTCTCCACTCTCTGTCTCTCTCTCTGTCTACATAGCTGTCTCCCCTCTCTCTGTTTCTCTCTGTCTGTCTCTCTGTCTCCCCCTGTCCCTCTCTCAACTCTCTGTCTCTCTCTGTCTACATAGCTGTCTCCCCTCTCTCTGTTTCTCTGTGTCTGTCTCTCTGTCTCCCCCTGTCCCTCTCTCCACTCTCTGTCTCTCTGTGTCTACATAGCTGTCTCCCCTCTCTCTGTTTCTCTCTGTCTATCTCTGTGTCTCCCCCTGTCCCTCTCTCTCTGTCTCTCTCTCCGTCTCTCATCTCCCTCTCTGTCTGTCTCTCACGCTCTGTCTCTCTCTGTCTACATAGCTGTCTCCCCTCTCTCTGTTTCTCTGTGTCTGTCTCTCTGTCTCCCCCTGTCCCTCTCTCCACTCTGTCTCTCTCTCCGTCTCTCATCTCCCTCTCTGTCTGTCTCTCACGCTCTGTCTCTCTCTATCTACATAGCTGTCTCCCCTCTCTCTGTTTCTCTCTGTCTGTCTCTCTGTCTCCCCCTGTCCCTCTCTCCACTCTCTGTCTCTCTCTATCTACATAGCTGTCTACATCAATCCCCATGTATGTACATCAATCCCTATGTATGTACATCAAACCCCCTGTATGTAAAATAATCCCCCTGTATGTACATCAATCCCCCTGTATGTACATCAATCCCCATCTATGCACATCAACCCCCCTCTATGTCCATCAATCCCCATCTATGTACATCAATCCCCTTGTATGTACATCAATGCCTCTGTATGAACATCAATCCCCCTGTATGTACATCAATCCCCCATGTATGTACATCAATCTCCCTGTATGTACATCAATCCCCCATGCATGTACATCAATCTCCCTGTATGTACATCAATCCCCCATGTATGTACATCAATCCCCCATGTATGTACATCAATCTCGATGTATGAACATCAATCCCCCATGTATGTACATCAATCCCCCATGTATGTACATCAATCCCCCATGTATGTACATCAACCCCCCTGTATGTACATCAATCCCCCATGTATGTACATCAATCTCCCTGTATGTGCATCAATCCCCCATGTATGTACATCAATCCCCCATGTATGTACATCAATCCCCCATGTATGTACATCAATCCCCCATGTATGTACATCAACCCCCCTGTATGTACATCAATCCCCCATGTATGTACATCAATCTCCCTGTATGTACATCAATCCCCCATGTATGTACATCAATCCCCCATGTATGTACATCAATCTCCCTGTATGTACATCAATCCCTATGTATGTACATTAATCTACCTGTATGTACATCAATCGCCCCATGTATGTACATCAATCCCCCTGTATGTACATCAATCCCCCATATATGTACATCAATCTCCCTGTATGTACATCAATCCCCCATGTATGTACATCAATCCCCATCTATGTACATCAATCCCCATGTATGTACATCAATCCCCCTGTATGTACATCAATCCCCCTGTATGTACATCAATCCCCCTGTATCTACATCAATCCCCCTGTATGTACATCAATCCCCATGTATGTACATCAATCCCCATCTATGTACATCAATCCCCATGTATGTACATCAATCTCCCTGTATGTACATCAATGCCCCTGTATGTACATCAATCTCACTGTATGTACATCAATCCCCATCTAAGTACATCAATGCCCCTGTATGTACATCAATCCCCATCTATGTACATCAATGCCCCTGTATGTACATCAATGCCCCTGTATGTACATCAATCTCCCTGTATGTACATCAATCCCCCTGTATGTACATCAATGCCCCTGTATGTACATCAATGCCCCTGTATGTACATCAATGCCCCTGTATGTACATCAATCTCCCTGTATGTACATCAATCCCCATCTATGTACATCAATGCCCCTGTATGTACATCAATGCCCCTGTATGTACATCAATCTCCCTGTATGTACATCAATCCCCCATGTATGTACATCAATCTCCCTGTATGTACATCAATGCCCCTGTATGTACATCAATCTCCCTGTATGTACATCAATCCCCCATGTATGTACATCAATCTCCCTGTATGTACATCAATCCCCCATCTATGTACATCAATCTCCCTGTATGTACATCAATGCCCCTGTATGTACATCAATCTCCCTGTATGTACATCAATCCCCCTGTATGTACATCAATCCCCCTGTATGTACATCAATCCCCCATGTATGTACATCAATCTCCCTGTATGTACATCAATCCCCCATCTATGTACATCAATCCCCCATGTATGTACATCAATCTCCCTGTATGTACATCAATCCCCCATCTATGTACATCAATCCCCCATGTATGTACATCAATGCCCCTGTATGTACATCAATCTCCCTGTATGTACATCAATCCCCCATGTATGTACATCAATCTCCCTGTATGTACATCAATCCCCCATCTATGTACATCAATCTCCCTGTATGTACATCAATGCCCCTGTATGTACATCAATCTCCCTGTATGTACATCAATCTCCCTGTATGTACATCAATCCCCCATCTATGTACATCAATCTCCCTGTATGTACATCAATGCCCCTGTATGTACATCAATCTCCCTGTATGTACATCAATCTCCCTGTATGTACATGAATCCCCATCTATGTACATCAATCCCCCATGTATGTACATCAATCCCCCATGTATGTACATCAATCCCCCATGTATGTACATCAATGCCCCTGTATGTACATCAATCCCCCATGTATGTACATCAATCCCCCTGTATCTACATCAATCCCCCTGTATGTACATCAATCCCCATGTATGTACATCAATCCCCATCTATGTACATCAATCCCCATGTATGTACATCAATCTCCCTGTATGTACATCAATCCCCATGTATGTACATCAATCCCCATCTATGTACATCAATCCCCATGTATGTACATCAATCCCCCATGTATGTACATCAATCCCCCATGTATGTACATCAATGCCCCTGTATGTACATCAATCCCCCATGCATGTATATCAATCCCCCTGTATGTACATCAATCCCCATGTATGTACATCAATCCCCATCTATGTACATCAATGCCCCTGTATGTACATCAATCTCCCTGTATGTACATCAATCCCCCTGTATGTACATGAATCCCCATCTATGTACATCAATCTCCCTGTATGTACATCAATCCCCCATGTATGTACATCAATCCCCCTGTATGTACATCAATCTCCCTGTATGTACATCAATCCCCCATGTATGTACATCAATCCCCCATGTATGTACATCAATCCCCCATGTATGTACATCAATGCCCCTGTATGTACATCAATCCCCCATGCATGTATATCAATCCCCCTGTATGTACATCAATCCCCCATGTATGTACATCAATCCCCCATGTATGTACATCAATCCCCCATGTATGTACATCAATCCCCCATGTATGTACATCAATCCCCCATGTATGTACATCAATCCCCCATGTATGTACATCAATGCCCCTGTATGTACATCAATCCCCCATGTATGTACATCAATCCCCCTGTATCTACATCAATCCCCCTGTATGTACATGAATCCCCATGTATGTACATCAATCCCCATCTATGTACATCAATCCCCATGTATGTACATCAATCTCCCTGTATGTACATCAATGCCCCTGTATGTACATCAATCTCACTGTATGTACATCAATCCCCATCTATGTACATCAATGCCCCTGTATGTACATCAATCCCCATCTATGTACATCAATGCCCCTGTATGTACATCAATGCCCCTATATGTACATCAATCTCCCTGTATGTACATCAATGCCCCTGTATGTACAT